ATGTTTTGAATAGTGACCTTAGCTGATTGTTTCTCTGTGAAATGTGTCTGAATGGCCCGTGGCAACAGATTATTTTTTCTTGAAGTTGTCAGACTCACCACTGTCATACTTCATGCTACTTGGCTGAACACTTTTAGAAGTGAGGGGAAAAGAAAGAAAGTTAGTTGTAGAGCATAGAGTGTTTTTTCAGCCATCCTGTCCCAGTTGAGTTCATCTATGAGCTGGAGGAGAAGCGACGGGCCTCATTAATCATGTGGACATGATCACGTTCTCATGAGAGCGAGTGAACGAGAGAGTGAAAGGCAGTGTATGTGTCTCGCTGGAGCTGTCTTTGGTTACAATGCTTGTTAACCTGCTGTCTTGCCACCCTTTTTACTGTCTTCCTCTCCTTCTGTTGGGTCTGCTGAAGTCTTTGTTGCTCCTCGGGGTTTCACTTGAGGGAGTCTGTAATTTTAAGCCAGCTCCTTGTCACGCACTCGCCCTAGAAGCTCGTTAAAGCAAATCGTTCATGGTGGTCATAATGATGTCCTTCTGCCCAACACACCCACCGTCTAAATCACTATGGCCAACTTTTAGAAGGGTGAAACAAAGTAGATTTTTGTCTCTTCAAATTACAACTACATAAAAAGCTGCCTGTTTGAATAAGATGGACAATTATTTTAAATTTAAAAGGACTGTTCAAACCAAAAATGTGTGTTATTATTTACTAACCCTCCATTTAAACCTGTTTGTGTTCCTCCTGTAAACACAAAACAAGATATACTGAAGAATGCTGGACAAAAAAAAGACACCTATTGACATCCATAATAGGAACTATGAAGTCATTAGATGTTTTTTCCTACATTGTTCAGTTTGGTCTTTTGTGTTTAAGAGAGGAAATAAATGCAAACATGTGTACCTATAGGTTGAATAAATTATTTTTCACTTTCGGAAGAACTGTACAATAACTAATATTTGAGTGCAATAGTTGACTTCCGGAAATAATTGAACTCTTGTGTTCATATTATTCAACTTATGTCCCTTATGAAATGGTTCATGCTGTAGCACTGGGGTGCCCAATCCTGTTTCTGGAGACTTACCTTACTGCAGAGTTCATCTCCAACCCTGATCAAAAATAACTAAACCATATAAGTAGGATCCAAATAAGCACCTGGTAGTTAAAGGCAGGTGCATTTGACCAATGCTACAGCTGAACTCTGCAGGAAGGTAGATCTCCAGGAACCGTATTGAGCAGCCCTGCTCTAGAGAGTATTCCACTAATCAGAGAGTTGCATAAAGCAGAACAGATCCTCTCATTGCCATCAAACATCATGAATGATGTAATCAAGTAGGCTTGACTACTCTGTATATTTTGCAATTTAAAAATATTTTCTTTCAGTAGACAAATCTAGCAGTAATATATAAAGAGTTTTATATTACGCTTTGTCTTTTCAAAACTTTTTTGTACTATTTCATATATTACATTGTTTTAGTTTAAAATTAAGTATATGTTTATGTCGTTCATTCATTCATTCATTTTCCTTCGGCTTAGTTCCGCATCTGGGGTCGCCACAACAAAATGAACCACCAACTATTCCAGCATATGTTTTATGCAGCTGATGCCCTTTCAGCCACAACCCAGTACTGGGAAACACACACATGCAAACTCCACACAGAAAAGCCAACAGGCCCAGCTGGGACTCGAAAAAGCGACAGTGCTAACAAACTGAGCCACCGTGCCGCCCTATATCTTTTCATAAAAATACTTGTAAATATGTATCTCTAAAATAGTGATAAATTCAAAATAAATTGAATTAAACTGAAATTAATTGGATTAGGCTCCAATTAAAAAACGACACTCACAGTGTGGAATTTGAATACTGAAACAATATTGAGTGGGTGGGGTTAACTAGAGCACCAATGAAATTGTAAGTAAATCAAATGACAGAACACGTCTGTCGTACTGTATGTTACAGGGATCATTAAAGGCTCCTACTGTAGATGATGTACTGTAGATAGCTGATCAGCTTTATTACCATACTGAATCTGAATGTGCCATACTATATGAGAAAATGCATAAAACAGTATGTGAGTCAAGTGGAATATTAAATTTCAAATTAGGAAAAAATTACAGAGATAAGGGTAAAATTCCTATTGAGCCTATTGAAGTTTCTTTACTGTAACATATAAGTGGCAGTGAAGCAACAAAACTAATGCTTTGCTAATTGCAGGTTTTCTTTCTATCTAATTTGGTCATTCATAATTTTAATTTCTCTAGTATGGTGTAGTGTTTCAGTGTGATTACCAACTAGCAGACCGGATTTTGATGTTAAAAGCCATTTATAGCATGGTAGATGGTGTTGTTTAGGTGGAGCTATTTCTACTGTAACTGTTGAAAATTGCAAAACGGACCTTCCCACTTTCTCATTCTCTCTCATCATTCAACTTTCATCAAGTGCCATCGATCCATGGTTATTTTTGTTCTATCACACAGCTCTAACAAACCTACTAAACGGCAAATCTTTTCAAGGCACTTTTACTGCTTAGACACGGCAAATCCAAACATATACAAACACAAATGCACACCCAGAACCTACAAAGCCAGTGTCAATCAGGTGTCTGGAGAGTGAGAGAGATTTGAGACCTAAAGTATACACCCAACAGTTCAGTTTTCTAGTGCTTTGGCCTCGGGTGTTTGTGTTTGTTTTGTGTGTATTTGTGTGTGTGTGTTGCAAGTACAAGTTCTACTGGCAGGGCCTCCATCCATCATAAATTCACTCTGACAATTGAACTCATTCATCCTAGCCTCTGGCAAGGGTCTTCGCTGTCCTTACAGAGATCAGTTCAGAAAGCTCTACAGTACTGTTACCTTAACTGTTATAAAACAAGCTTGGATGAACTCTTTAATATTTGTACACTAAAAATCAAGTATTCAAAAGATGGTTTTCATTTATGATTCCCTAAAGAACCTTTTGTGAACAGCTCTTAAATATATATATTTTTTCTTAGTGTGAAGAACATTTGAATAATCTGAAGTACTTTTATCTACTCTAAGGAAATGTGTGTTAAATGAAAGAGATACATCACATACCTGTATGCTATCTGCATGGTTGCATGGTTAATAATTAGAAAGGGCATGTGTCCCATGCATAACCAGAAAGTGTATGTTTATATATGCTGTATAACCACCTCCACCTTTAGGCAAAAATAGTCAAAAGCATTTGTCATATATTTAATAAAATATAATTTGTTAATGTTTTTTTAAAAATTAGATAAGATTACAAGAATAATGCTTAATGTGTTTGTTTTAAGTTGCCAAAATTTCATGATCCGTATACTACGTTCACCTAATTTTGAGTCAAGGAAAATACATATGTATATATTGTTTGTTATATAAATTTTTGATTTCAATGTTTATAAATAATGACAAAATGTATGAAATATCTGTAACCTTATAAATGTTTTACTTTTTAAGGCCTGTAGTTTAAAAAAATAATAATAAAAAAAGATTTATATTTATTTCTAAAAGCACACTATAAAAATATCTGTTGTGATTTACAATTGTTTTCCATTTATTTACGATTAAGAATTGCATTATGTATTAGCTGCTCTGTCGACTTTTAACATTGAAAAATCAACTCTACGGTTTAACAAAGTGACTTTTATTGGCATTTTAGTAGTTTGAAATGATATAATGTATAAGGAATGATACAGAGAGAAATAAGTCTGTAAAATAACAGAAAATGTACTGGCAGTTTATTGCAAAGTTTTTGTATTTATTTATTTGTTCATTTGGCAGGGAAAGTGTACATTAATTAGCATCGCAGAAGGCTATTTTTCATCCATTGTCCCTGGACAGATGTTAAAATTATCACTTTAAAAAACTATGCAAAAATTATACAATCAGTCAAGCATGGTTAAGAAGCACAAAAATAGACATATTTTAGTAGATCTTAATATAAAAATGTATATGTACAAAATAAACTAAAAATACCAACAAAAATATAGTATAATTAAATGATAATATAATATAACAATACTATAGTTGTAGCATAATATACAACACCAACCCAGACAATATATCACTTTAAACTGTTAAAAATTTTCATAAAAGTCACTTTTTAAAATTTTTTAAGGTTAAAAGTGGTTGAAAGATAGACCAAGGTCCCATAATACAATTTAAAAGCAAAAATAAATGGGGGAAACATACAAAAAATACAAAAAAATAAAAAATAAAAATTGGAAACACTTTATTTTAATGGTCCGTTTAAGTATTAGTAGACTGTCTGCTTAATATCTGCTGATACTGCTCCTTCAACAGACTTTTAACTACCATGATGATAATAAGAAACTTTGCAAGTACATGTCAACTTTCACTAACCCTAACCCCAACCTAACAGTCTAATTATAATCCTCTAATTTACAGATATTTTATACAGTTTAGTTTATAAAGACGTCAAGTAATGTAATGGTGTGTGTTTGTGTGAGACAAAGAGCAAAAATATAAATCAGTCTGTTATATTTATAAATTGTGACTAGACCTACAGGAATATCTTCTCTGCTATGTGGGGTTTTGGTCTTTGAATTATACGGTACATTGTTGTAAAGATCAATTTCAACCGATCAATGATTCACCATTGTTGAGTTTAATACTCTCACTGGATTCACACACAATTTAAGCTACATGTTTACAGAGAGCATGCATTGACTTCAGACTTGTTTAGATTTACATTATACGACAGAATCTAGAACAGTAGGAGGATTGGTGGAATTGCACATATTTGTGGTCGGAGACGAGTGCCATGTCATGTGAATCTGAGTAGGCGCACACAGAGACCATGCTGTTAGTGTTTGCATGTGTTCACCCAGCCCTGATTGTGCTTCGCTAAGTGCCGCCCTTATTGCATTAGGCAGAAAGATGCCACAGTTTGAGAAAAAAAATTCAATCCAATCATTAACCTCATTCCTCTCTCTCCCTCCCTCTTTTTCTCTGTCGAATCTCTCCCACTACCTCTTTACAGTCTCACCGCACGATATACAAGTCCACCAGGTCACAGTGGAATAGCAGCCCCTCAGAAGAAAAACACAAGGTAGAGTTTTCAACTGTATCTGCCTGCTCTCGCTCTCTTCTGACACCAGAGACTCTCCTCAGGAAAGCCGACCGGCTGATGTTCAAAGCTGTAGGAACAAATCTGGCTGATGTAGGTGGTGTATGATATATAAAAGGAGGCGGATGGCAACTTCACATTTCAAAACAGTTTTCGGAGAATTTGGAGATTGAGTCTTGGTGTCGAAAGCCATAGATCTTGAATGCAGTTTATTTGTGACCGGAGGTTTTTGCCATTTCTAGCAGTTGTCGGGCCCTGAAAGCATTTGCTGGTGGGAAGCTGTGTGCTGGCGAAGCTTTTCAAAGTATGTGAGATATGTGATGGACACTGTGTGTGATATAGTGCTTGCTCCATTCACAGCCTGATGGGTTTGAGTACAACTGATGGCATTATTTCCTCAAAAAGAACATGTGCCTGTGGGGAGAGAGGTAGAAATGGAGATGCTGCAGTTTTTTTCTTCTTTGATGTACTGTATCTGAGATCTGGGATTTTCTTTTAGAGTACTGATATGTAATGTAGGAGTAACATTTTTCAGACAGTACTCATTATGAATTTTGATAATGTCATTGCAGTTTTGTATGCAACATGGTGATGTTGAGGGCTGTTAGCACATGGTGGTATCAGTGGGATGCAGGTCTGAGTACCTTTTTTTTAGAATCTCGTCAGAAAAAGTTTCTACAGAAAATATATAAATCTCATATCAAACATCTTCAAAGAAAAAGCCTATAAAAACATTCAATACAAGTACAAGGATTGTTTGCTTGCTTGTGTACTTGCAAGATTTTTATAAGATTATATAACAATGATCAATAACATGATCAATTTTATTTACTAAGGACTCATTCAAAGTAACACTAAAGACTTTTATATTATATTATATTATATTATATTATATTATATTATATTATATTATATTATATTATATTATATTATATTATATTATATTATATTATATTATATTATATTATATTATATTATATTTGTTACTTTTTTTATCAAATAATGATATGTGTATTAGTTTCCAGAAACAGAGATAGAAAAGTAAAAAGTAAGAATAATAACACATGATAATGGATCACCAAATTAGTAAATTTAAGGATTGTATGTAATAATCTCATAACATACTGAATTGAACCGTATTGTGGCTGCAATACCATGTACATAACTAAACTGTGGAATGGATGTATCCTTATATTTCTATGAAATAAATGAATTTCATGCACATTTTTAATCATAGTTAAATATTATTGAATATATAGCCGGGATGGTCCTGTAATTATTAATAAAACAAAATAAAGAATTTTGAAAGGAATGTTTGTCTAATTACATTAAATTGAAAGAACATTTGAGTTAACGGATCATTTTATTAACAATGGATTAAGGAGTAATTTATGTTACAGGGAAATGCATTTAACATGATACAGTATTTATCGCAGGATATAATAATATCCTAAAACTTTCAGTTAAATCCAAAGAACTTTAATAGGAAAGACATATTAAAATTCAATGGAGATGGCAAAAGCGGTCTTATTTGATCCTTAAACATTCTGCTCTAAATTTTAATAGGCATAATTTGAAAGATTTTTATCTTTCATGAGGCCTTTTTCTTAATGTATTCAGGACAGATTGGATAAGATGTGACGTGTCATTAAAATTCAGCGATTATGCAGCAGTGGAGATGTTTCACAGCTGAACCCCATCAAACTCCATTGACATTTTAATTATTAACCTAAAATAAACATGAGCAGATCCAGAGACCTGGTCCTCCAGCTGACCAGCACATCTTCTGTTTTCAGTAGCAGAGCAGAGAATGCATTGGTTTGCTATATAGCATCAAAAACAGCAAAACTCTTATATACAGGGCTCAACATATATGAGTAGACCCCTCACAAATCTTTCATTTAAATTAATATTTTCTATAGAAAGTTTTACAATGTTAAATTTATGCATATACATTAGATTTTGTAGTACTGAAGCCAAACCTAGAGATAATCTAATAAAATAACGATTCAAAATTAGTACACCCAAATTTATATTTTAGAGAAAAGATTTAATAAAACATTATAAAAAGAGCAAAATTCAAGATTTTTTAAAAATTTTTTGGTAATATTGTGCATAGATTTAATTGTATTATCTTTATATTTCAAAGATGTTTGGCGGCTAAAATTATATTTTAGTAAGATATCTGTTTAATACATTTTTTTATTCAAATGCACAAAAATATATAACCTATTTTCATTGAGAAATGGATAAAAATATTCATTTTCAAAATGAGGTGTACTCATTTATATTGAGCACTGTGTGTATATGTATTGGTATTCTGAAACAAGCTCCATGATTATATTAGCACTCGTACAAATGTCGACTTTGTGTGTATATATCTAAATCTGTAATAGAAGAGCAAATGATTTTTGTTTATTTATGTATATACAACAAGAAATATAGATGATTATAGCTAACATTGAACAGTTACTATAGTTTCAAAATATTATTGACATATATTGACATTTAACCTGTTGATATTACCCACTGAATCTTTGCTATTTTTACAACCAGATGCTGTGGAATTTTGTAGTTCTCATAGATGTCTAACTGAGATAATTTTTTGTCCATTTAGAGTCTATAGCGGATGTAGAATCTAAGTATACATATCTTGGACAAAAAATAATTTGCATTTCCAATAGGTTTCCCTGCATTTACCCATATAAACATATAGTCCTGCCCTTAACTCAAGCCATTGGCTGAGCCAGTGTGTTGCTGCTGAAACAGCAGTTCTTTGAAAGTGCCTCAGATTTCCCTTGATAATCAACCTATAAATGTCATATTGTTTCAGTATATTATGTTAGAGATGAATAAAGTATTTTAGCACACAGTGCATCCTTAATTTAAATCTATTTTAGCAAAGCTCTCTGTCTTTTCGATGCCTGGTTAGTAATAAATCTATCCTCCACAGGCGTATTTGTGTATGTATACATGATACATATTTATGCAAATTACAGTCTAAGGAACATTTCAAGACCGAATTAGAAAACCAAATATCTTATAAATGCTGATGTCAGACATTGCCTGCATCTTTAAACCAGGCCAAACTGAACTGATCTGTTTTCTTTGCAAACTCTGCTGAGGAAAAAAACCTGCTGAATTTAGCAGATTTCAACATGATAGAAATTGTGTTACGTGCAGCTCAGAGTACTATCACCAGCTAATAGCTCAAAGCTTGATAAAATCACTTTGAATATTTAATAAACAAACACACAAGGGCCACTGGGAAACTCTCTATGGACTCATGCAGATTCCTTGTGGACCCATTAAAATGAAAATGTCCAAATACTTTTAGTTTAGACACTGTCCTTAATGCGGTCTCTTAAGTTCATCTCAATTTTCTCAGAAATAACCTGTCTGGGAAATACCATCAGATAAGCTTTTTCAGAGCCACCCTTTTTTTACGCTTGCATATTATCATAGCTGGTGATGGGGGCCTGTGTAACAGGTTAATGGACAAAGGCAGAAGTGGCTGATGGGAAATGAGCGAGTGATGAAGCGGTGTCATTTGAGGCTTGATGAGACATGCACCTGAACTGCCTGAATCATCCTTCTCCAATCCATCATTTCTGGGAAAGCTATTTGCTCTGATTCTTTGTAATAAGATGTTTCAAAATATATTTGATCAGTGATGAGAAGCCCAAATGATGATAGGACTTTCAGATGGCTTATAAAATGCTCATAAGCTAAATGTTATAGGTCTTTATTTGGTCATTGGTTTTGATCATTAGTCCATTACCTGAGAAATTGAATCAACTGAGAATTCTGCTGAGAATTGTTAAAACGATAAATTCTGCTAATTTGTTCTCGTGCGACATGTTTATAAGCCGCTCTTAGGCTAATGTGTCAAAAGGTCATGTCTCCCAATTAATAAACGGGGACTGATTGAGTCATTAACAAGTTTGTGCTGGAGTAAATCATCAATAATGTGCATACAGAACAAGGAAAATGCATACATATACAGAGTATGCTAATTTTATTGTCTGATTTTAGAGCAATTAAAAGCTGATTACTTTGTTGACAAGTTAAAGAATGAGCCACTTCAAGAGACTGCATATTAGTCAAATCATTATTCTTAAATGCTGTTCATTATTTCAATCTCATACACAGCGATTGTGTTTTCTGTCAGAGCTCTAATGATGTTGTACAGTTGAAAATCATGTCTTGATGTCATATTTTGTGCTCGTAAAGTGATCCTAGCCCTTTGATGGTCTCAATCTGATATTTTTCTTATCTGGTCCATTATCTGGCATTACTTATCTGGCACTTTTAGCTCCATTAAATCACAATTATTATAATGAAAGGATTATATTAATAGTAACAATGTGGAATAAATGTGTGTATTTGAAACCTTGTGAGATTTAGGCAGTAATGAAATTGAATTAGCTCATTTAAAACAGTTCAGTCAAACTAATCAGTTTGTCTTCATATTCATAGAAGCAATTGTCATATTAAAATAGTTGATGTTTGTCAAACAGGCTTGTTAACCTTAACTTGTTGTTACCATTTGACCAAAGTGTTTGCTTGCATGCATGCGTGTGTAGAATAAAATCACAAACAAGGTGTATGTTTTTGGACATACAAAGATGTTGTTCACAAAGCTTCGTAAGTGAACTTTAATCTGACATTACTAATTTACTTTATACTGCAATTTGTTCAGTTTCGTTCTGTTTATGAAACCTAGATGAAAGCTGATGCAAAAATAAAGGACTATATATTCATCAGTTTTAAAAAAGTCAGTATTTGGGTAGATCAAGGCATTTTTTTTAACCGACGATGAGTATCTAGTCCTTTATTTTGCATCAGCTGTTTGAGATTGGCAGACACCTACAAGTCTGAGAATTTATATGTCAGCAGAAGGGAAAATTCAAAACTTTTTTTTTGTATTTTATTATATATATTTTTATACAGAATCTGGGCTAATTTAATTATGCTTCATCAGGGTATCATGAAACAACAAAACGTTTAGACTGCATTCACAATATGTTAACAAGTTAAAGGTATGGTTAGACAGAAAATAACTAAAATAGCTTAAAAAATGGTGGTCTCTAATGGAAAGTGTGTTGTATGTTTGTGTCTATCATAGTTATATGTAATCTCATACAGCTCTTGATCAGTGGCTGAAGATAAAACTATTGTAATTGTGTTGTTACAGGTTGCCAGGTCCGTCCAGAGTCCCCGCTGCAGGCAGCGGCAGTAACAGCAGTAAAGGCTCCTCAAACCTGAACAGAAGAAGCCAGAGCTTTAACAGTATTGATAAGAGCAAACCATTGCAGTATGCTAGCGGCAACGACAGAGGTGAGCATGCACAGACACTTTAAGATGATCTTCAAATCAAAATGTCACAATTTCTGCATTAAAGACAGCTACTGTATCCTGCTATCCACTAGATGGTGCCACTATCAAAGAAAAAATAGAGCTGTGGGTTAATGCAAGTTGCTCAGAGTTTAAAAAAAATGCATTTATTATTACATTTTCAGAATAACCTTAATAAATCTATGAAAGAAACATATTTCCCAAAGAAACCCTAGGAAATGAAAGTTTAATATTGCCCAGTAGTTCCTCTCTGGTGTGTTTTTCACATCTGAAAAGATGATCTGCCATCGGCATTCACTGTCCCCCACCTACAAATTTAGAAATGACGTTTATGTTATATTTTTGCTGCTACCACAAAACTAGCCTATTCAGAGTTCACTTCAGATTTCATCTTCCTGTCAGAGCCGAACCATCATTCAAAGCCGACTTCATAAAACCACACGGCTGTTTAGCCACTAGTGTGTAAATCTCCACAGGCTAGTTGGTTACTCCATAAATCTACACTAGACCTGATGGAGTGTGTCGATTGAAGTCGGGTTGGGAGTTCAGAGACGTGTGACCTGTATTTCGCCCCTGGTTCACCTCTCACAGCGAGGATCCATGGTGATCGGTGAACAAAACCTGAACGATTTCCCTCACAGACTGTTTGTTTTGGCTGAGCTGCCTGGTTAGATTTATACCAGACTTTACTGGTCCTCGTCCGCTGTTAGCACAGATGCTGGTGTTCCCAGACACTGGTTACAGAGAGGGCAAGATGGTGCACTCCAAGCCAGACAGAGCGTCTCACATAGCAGACGGAGCTTTGATGAAGCAGAGAGTCCTAATAGGCAACGTCTCTCTTGAAACCCATGGCTGCCTATTTCCATCGGGCCTAACATTACTCAAAACCTTGATTTATAAGACTGGTGTTCTAATACCTCCACAGATGAGAAAAACAATCTCTCATAGGCACTTTTTTCCCTCATCTTCCTTTTTCCTCTATCTAAGGCGTCTGCCGCACTAGAGGAACCACGGAGGAGCTGTAGGGAGAAAATAGAGCTCCGTTCCAAACACTAGTGTGCTGCCTACCTGGCATTTTAAGGCATCCGAGGTGCACTGCTGACACAAAAGCTGTTCCTAACAATACGCAGAAAAAGATGCTGCCTTGTTACATGCCAAATTCTGAAGGTGCAAATGCATTAGTGACATTTCACAAGCCAAAAAATCAGCCATTGTGCATTGTGATAGTGTTGCAATGTATGAACAGCTACAATGGAAGTCACATTCAAAGCAAGTAGCTTTCTGTTGATCGTTGTGGCGAATCCACGTAAGCAGAATAAACACTTTGAAATCTGCAAGGGGAAATATTTTGTTTTCCAAAAATAATTACTAGATAACCATTAAAATGATTAGATTTGATCTGAAAAAAATAAAATAAATAAATAACCAAACAAAGGTAGAGGGAACAAACAAATATAGTTTTAGAGATGCTAAAAGCCAGAAATTGTCAAGTGAATATATAAAATAGTCAGCCAGGTTAAAAGAAATGTCATCTCTAATTTCACATCTCATACTTAGAATAGTGTTGAATAAGTTAAATTAAAATTAGTTATTAGTTATATTTATTATATTATATTATATTATATTATATTATATTATATTATATTATATTATATTATATTATATTATATTATATTATATTATATTATATTATCATAAATGAATTAGTTAGTATAGTTGATTTATTAAAATCAAACTATTTGATGCAACATTTAGTATTTTCTGTACCATAGTTATTTATACACTTTGTTAGCTTAGCAACAAGCTAGCATTAAACTTTGTGATAGTTTGTCAAGTTCCACAGTTTGTTTTTAAGTCCCATTTTGTTCTTAATACTGACTGCATGAAGTGCTCCAGTTTAGTCCCTTATGGGGTTTAGTGATTGTTAGAAGGCTGTCTTTGTAGCCTGCTATGCAGCTCACTAGGTTTTGGAACAGAGTTAGCGCATAGCCTTTGATTTTATGGCAGGCTTGAATGCAAATTTCATAATCCGGAGTTTGACCTTTAACTGATTTAATCCTTAACCTCAAATCTGTCAACACCCTTGTTACAGTCACCTCTGTATTTCAGTACAACGCCTCACTGTTGACTCAAATCTCACACTGTTTAAGCCTGATGCCAAGGTAGTGGGCACAAATACTTGCATGTTAAGTAGTCTTGTATAACAAAGCTAATTTCACCATTCACACTGGCTGCAGGAGGGAATCAGCATATTTGCTAGCATCAGCTCAGTTCAGGAAGCTTGAAGAAGCACTATGTACAGTTCCTGCATTACTTTAAAGAAAACTGCTTTTATTTATACACAACTTTTTTAGCTTTATATGGTAGCACCTATGGTACAAAGATGGTGGAGATCTGTCAGAAATAACAAAGAATGTTAGCACAAAAGACTAAATTGTTAATGCCCACTGTTGTGGATTAAGATGGGAACTCATTAGTGACATGTTTGTTGTCAGCACCTCCATTAATGTATTTATTTTGTATTGTGTGTGGTGTCCTACCAGACTTTCCAGACCAAAGTGACATTGCACTTTGTATCATTTAAAGTGGTGTAGAGAATTTGGGTAGCTATGGTAACTGTTTCATTGGTCTGGCGTGTGAATGTGTCTGAGAGAAGCTGTTATTTAAGCTGCTGTTATCTCCAAGGACGGGGTTAATTTAGCTGACACATGCACTGAAGCCCAAATCCACACAAATATTCATTCAAAGTCCAATCACTGTTCCCTCTACAAGATTTTCAATGGATGCAATGAAGTCCCATCTCCTCCCTTTTTCCTTTGTGTTTAGAATTTTTCAGCCCGTGTCTTTGATACATCTGGGTGCAAATCAGAGTTAGGGACAGCCTGAGTTGATATGAGATTAAGTAGATTTACTTACATTTTGTTGTGTTATAAGCGTTGATGCATGACTGTTTTTTTTAATTCACAAAAACTTATTAAAATGCTATTTCATGTATCTGATTGAAAAAATCCAACTTTTAAACTTTTGGATTTCCAATTTATAGTGTTTGATTTATATATATATATATGTGTTTAATAACTTTTTTTTAAAATATAATACACTAAAATACAGATTTTGGTATATAAACTTACGCTTTAAAGTGTTTTATGTGGGCACTGAGGTAAGCAGTAAGAAACAACAGCAATAGTAAACTGCCATTACTGGACATTTTATTTTTGTGCAGTGTCATGTCTAAGGGGATTGATATATGAAGATCCTCAACATGAACATGATGTGTATGTATTGGATTAAGTGTGTTTAGATATAGAATTCTGTGAGCCATGTTGATTCTTTGCAAAACATCACTACATTTACAAAGAACAAGAGTGTGTCTGGCAGCAACAAAGTATTTAAAATCCCTCAAAAATCAATTTAGAAGCCAATTTTCTGCCTCAGTGCATTCGAGCATTGCTTGGGATTTCAGTATGCAGTGGGATTTCAAAGTAAAGATTTGAATGGAGCACTATCTGTTCCTCATGAGTTTGTGGGGCACTTTGCCCTCGCACAATCCCTTTCCTTGTATGCTAATACTTGGTAATTGCTGTAGTCATACATTTTTCTTCCTTGCCAAACATAAACTTTGCATTACTTCTTGAGTGTAGTACTATCAGTCTAACAGTTGTGTCGAATATGTGGTCTGTTTTAGAGTCGGTGAAGGGCATCCCTCTGCCAGGCAGCATGAACGGCAGTGGCTCAGTGCCTTCCAGCACCAGCGGGCAGCAGCTGGCCTCTGCCATTCCCTCTCCCACTGCTGGAAAGACCTGGCGCAGCAAGTCCATGAACATGAAGCACAGTGCCACCTCGTCCATGCTGGCCACTAAGCCGCCCAGCCCAACCTCATCCCCTACCCCTCCCTCATCATCCGATCGCCTCCGGCCCCCAATCACAGATGCCTCCAAATCAGCCCCCGGTAACCAGCGTTCCATGTTGGAAAAGTTCCGGATCCTCAACCCTCGCGCCACATCCAGAACCTCTCCCTCTGTGGCTGAAATGGCTCTCCAGGAGGAGGATGACTTGTCAGAGTTTGGAGATGAGGGAACTTTCAGTCCTACACCACCCTGCGGGATCTCAAAACAGCAGGGGAAGCCCTCTGCATCTGCATTTGCACCCCCAAGCAAGTCCAACAACTGTAAGAACCACAACAATAAGTCCTTGCCACAACCCAAAGACAAAGAGGACAAGAACAAGACCAAGAACAAAGCCAGCACACCTCCCAAAGAAGAGCCAGTAATAGTGGAGACCTCAAAGAAAGGCTCCAAGATTGCTAGCCTCATCCCCAAAGGAAGCAAAACATCCGCTGCCTCTGTGAAGAAAGAAAGTGCAATCCCTGCCTCCAGCAGTATCCCCAAGCCTGGTCTGAAAGCTCCAACAGCAACCTCCAAACCTGCAGGAACCCAATCTTGTGTACCTGCAACTACCGGTGGGGAGAAGACCAAACTTAACAAGGGCAGTCAGTCCATATATATGCAGAGATCTCTGGGAGGCTTGGAGAACCGTAAGACCAGCATGGTGTTGTCAACCAGTACCTCAGCTCTTTCTGCATCCACCACTTCAGGACTGGGGGGTGGTTGTGCTCTAGGTGGTAATGGAGCAGTACAGCTTCCCCAGCAGCAACAACATAACCATCCCAACACAGCGACAGTCGCCCCCTTTATGTATCGGTGAGTGATTCTCAAGCATGACTGGATATGATTGTTCCATTTTATTTGTCCTGCTTTGCATAATGTGAATGATAGTTGGTAAAGGTGTGGGTAGAAACTAAGGATCTAGACTGTCATCTTCAGTCCCAGAGGAGTTAGTCATATTAAATCTACCATTGTTCCCCTAGCAAGATAATTAATGGCTAGTGAGCTTTCATTGTGATCAGCGTGTCTTGTCTCTTTGAATAAAATTATTTAACAGTTAAAGTTTTTGAAATCTGAAATCCCAGGAAGCTCAAATACCTCTATATATAGAACAGATGCCAGTTGGTCATTTTTCAAACTTACTATGTCCTCATCATGGACACAGCTGACGTCTAATGCTGGCAGGGCTATATATCCAATGAGTCTTAGAGACATAAAAGGGGAAACAGACAGATTTGGGTTCCTGGGTTCTATTTTAGGTCATGAAATCATTATCATTATATACGAGACAGCAGGACCATGTCTCTGTAATTACCCTCAATAGACAGGCAAAGATGAAACTCTCCTCCCCAGGAGGTCCTGAATAATTACCTCATATTTTACTCATTCTGCACACCACTAAGCAGACAGATACTCTACAGAGTTAGCCAATTTAATAAGTACAATTGTTATTCACTATAAATGAAGATACACCATAAACAATCCACATTCTACAGCAATATAAGTTTATTAAGAGGTGGAAATGACTGTCTTTATGACATATGAATGTTATGGCCTGGTGAGAAGTGCACATGTTCTGACATTCTGCACAGTGGTGCTTCTAGTTCGGGCTTCCCGGGATTCAGTCGTTTTCTAATCAATCATTCCTCACTTTTCTGTCAGATTAAAGGCTGAAAGAGAAATCTGAATGAAGTCTTTGTAGGGATTGTATACAGTTTAACCCAAAGAATGACCAGTCTGTCAGATGAAGAAGAGCCGGAGTCAGAGATTTAAATAAATAAATCAAGTTTACTAAAGATAGTTTGCAGTTTTATCAGCAGAAGCCAGCCATAACACTCCAATGAGTTCCTAGGCTGCTCTGCTTACAATCAATAACAATTATACTCTCACATAACATCATTAACTGCGTCACACATATAGGTGTTCTAACCTGATTGGTTAAAACACAGATAGACAAGGAAAATTTCCCTGTGGGGTTTGTGTGTACAATTCTGAACAATATCTTAAGCATAAACGTCAGACATCCACTAAACTGTTTAGAGCTGACTCCAGACCTGTGAAACAGATTCACAATCAAATAGAACACACACACTTAAAGTATAATCTGTTTCTTATCCAAGGCTGAGTGTACTCTCAGCCATCTTTACCAAAACTAGTTAAAAGCCGGTATAATCTATATTCAGGCAGTTTTAATATCCTTAATACACAAAGTCTATCTTGAATAAAAAGGTAGAATCACTTTAAAAAAATTACCTGTAAAAAAATCAAAAAATCACTTCAGACATTTTTGTGTATTCATTCATAGAAATAACAATAGAAACAGTTGCTTCCAGTCCTCAACCCTCAGTTCCACTCAAGGTCTCCGTGACCTCTGACCTAGTTTGTTGGCTCCTGAAAAAGTTACACAGACAGGCAAATGCCCTGAATATTCTTACATAAATCAGTGTGTTAAACTTATTCATTAGTTAAAATCATTTCAAAGTTAAATACTCATTCAAATAATTATATTTAATTAAAAAAGGAAAGGATTGGAAAGGATAATCATTGATTCATGATGAGACGGATTGGAAGGCAGAAAACCGAATCCTTCATCTTCATTGAGTGTGGCCAATGATATTAACAGTATAGATATCTTTTCATTATAGACTGTCTAGCAAGAGTTCTCTTTGACCAGATGGAATGAGAGCCGCTTTACATGCAAAGGCTCTTACACACATTATAAAGCATCATTAATTGCAGAAAAATATATGTTGATCTAGCTATCTATATATACAGTTCATCAAACCAGCTTTTAGACCCAAAAACACACACCCACTGATCATCTGTCCCTTCCTTCACCTATCCAATCGCACAATGCTTTGTAAGAAGTGTTAGCGGGTAGATGTCTCATCTCAACAGTAATAATAGCCTGAGTGGGAACTGCTGATTAGTTTGCCAGAACGCCTCGTTCGAGGGGCGTGGCCTTCCTCAATGCACACCAAGGCTGATGACATCATAAATGATGACTAATGAGGGTGAATAGGTTGAGTGGAGGAAGAGGAAGTGGGAGAAGAATAAAGAATATGTGATTGATGGGCAAAGGGCATTCATAACTAAGTCAGCTTATAAAAGAGAGTGCTAATGTTCTTATCATAGACTAAAACTGATGTTAAAAATGAACTGAAAGCAAGAGTGGAATGGTTTTGTATGTATTGTTAAATTATATTGTATATGTTCAGTAATCAGTTTAATCCCTCTCGTGAAGAAATAGCTTTCAAACCTGATGACCTCTGTCTGACATCCCTTTACAAAACAGAATCTTAGGAGCTTAACATCTCTTATAAAAATAAAAATAAAAATAAAATACTTTGTCACTCCTTTTCTGGCCCGCCACAGGTTCATTATTCTTAGGAAAATGATGCCGTTTTCTAAAAGCTGTGTTTGGCATTCTCAGTACCGTCTCATAAGGATTATAACCTAAAGTCTTTATGGAATTTTAAACTAGAGCCCTTATCACACTCCCCTCCAATACTGCAGATCTTCCTCACTCGAGAGAGAGCTTTGCTTGACACTGTAAAACCTGCAGGGCTGCGACAGCATTGCTGCCAAACGATACATTGCATTTTGAATGGGTCCATGTGTTGAGCACACTGTTTTAAGACTGTTTATAACGGCCAGTATTTTTAATGGTTTAAAAGCAGGTGAGCTAAGGACACTTTGAATTTTTACAATTAGAAATTCAGTTGAATGTCTCTTTGCAGCAATATAATGATTGTGAAAACTGCTGAGAGCAACAATAGATGAATATGGTAATATGTTGCTTTGATTCATATGTTTCATGTGTCATAGAATGGAAAAGAGACTCTTGAAAGTGTTTAAGCAAACACTAGCATAAAAAAAAACTTAGACCATCTTACCTGGGTTTTTTAGAATACAAATAAGCAGCATATAAAATTAAATGCAAAAACCGACAAAACAATGTTGATAGATATTAAATAATTTCCTTTTATAGAACCAAAACATCTTTAAATTAAACACTGTTAAACCTTTAATGTACACGTAAACATAAAAATAGGAGTTACTTTATTAAAATGAATTAAACAAGTTCATAGCAAAACAGGAACCAACTATGATATTTTCAAATCACTGCCTTTCATGGAATAGCTTGCAGTGTTTGTGTTTTTTCTTAGAAGATATGGTCGATACAAATGTCTTTGTTATCATTTGAAATGTGTAGCCGATTTATTATACCCTTTATCAAAGAGCTTAGAATGACCAGAAGGCGACACTCAATAGAACGTTCCATTGAAACAGTAGTGCCCAGCAACAGCCTCGTGATTCTGCCATTTTGGAGTGAAAGCGATCGACCGTCTATTGGATCTTATTGCTGTTTGCCTTTACTCATGCATTTGTCAACTCATTCTGTTTGTTTCAAATGGCATATATCGCGCTGCTATGGGTACTTTGGAGTGAAAATAGTCATGGCTGCCATATTATAGTGTCATTCCAAATCAAAGTGCTCAAAACTGGCAACTTCGAAATGAAAGATTTCAGCACATTTCAGTGCTGACATCTTGTGGACAAACTAAGTGGAGCAAAAATGATTCAAAACTCATACAGTATGTGAGCTGCTCATGCATCATATACACATGTCTCTATGTGTACAGTAAGCAGGCTGAAACAATAATTTCAAAGTAGTTTTACTACTTTAATTGACATTTTACTGGTTTAAAATGTCAATATCTTATTATAAAGCAGCACATTTAGGTGACATCAAAATGAGGCACTAAAATTTGTGTTCTGATTCAGTCCATATGTGTACCAAAACCATAATTATGCCAGGTGGTGGTATCCCATATGGCAAAGGTGTCTTTTTTCAGGTTGTGTTATCACTGTTCATACATTGTAAATCAAAAATGATTAATACATGAAAATATTTATATGTGACTCTTTAAATGATCTTTTTCGAATGTCCATAATACATTCTAGGACTGCCATATTATGCTTTGTTTACTGCTGCTTTAAAACCAAATAAAGCAGTGTTATTTTGCAGCCAACTGTTTAAACCTGCTGGGAGCGATGATGCCTAAAACCTTGTCTAGTGGGTAGATCACGTGGGTTTAAAACGCTTTTTTGTATTTTCTTCCATATTTATGGAGAACAGTGGGCTGACCCTCCATTCACTGCCTCTTCTTCTATCAATTTCCCTCTGCTTCAACGATGTTGCATGAAAACAGATGAAATGATGTGTCTGCAGCCCGTCAAATCAGCATGTGTGTTCTAACCTGACCTTCTGTTGAGTCTGTCTGTTTTGTTTTATGCAATTTCATCACTTAATTTGTTCATTTAGCTCACCAAGCCTTGAAGTCACCTGACATTTTAAGCCCACTACCTTTCTGCATCATTTGTGAATTTGCATTCACAGGCAGTGTTTGTGTGATAAATGTGTGTGTGTATCTATGTGTGTTTGTTGCCACAGTTAATGCAGTATGTTGGTGGAACACGTGGTGAAACTAACAGTATGACATGCCACTGAAATATTTGGCTGGTGGATTGGATGTGAGAGGGAGAAGGAGGGAATGTTTATCTGAGCGAGTGCAGGTGTCCTGGGACGCCTTTGTTGTAGATGTGGTTATAATGCATATACAGTTTAAGTTCCTCTGAGTGTGCATGCAATTTTTCTATATTTTTGGGGACCAGAAAGCCTGACTAGTTGTCAACAACAACAGTTTACTCAATATTAAGCTGTGACTGCTTTAAACTAGAATTAGAGTGTAAACAAAACATGCATAGAGTTGAAGTCAGAATTATTAGCCCCCCTTTTATTTATTTTTATTTTTTTATTAAATATTTCCAAAATTATGTTTAACAAAGCAAGAACATTTTCACAGTATGTCTTTTCTTTTGGAGAAAGTCTTATTTGTTTTATTTCGGCAACAATGAAAGCAGTTTTTAATTAAAAAAAAATTAAGTTCAATATTATTAGCCTCTTTAAGCTAACAAGCCATAGTTATACAATAACTTGCCTAATTACCCTAACTTGCCTAATTAACCTAGTTAAGCCTTTAATGTCACTTTAAGCTGTATAGAAGTGTCTTGAAAAATATCTAGTCAAATATTATGTACTGTCATCATGGCAAAGTTAAAATAAATCAGTTATTAGAAATAAATTATTAGTAAAACTAATATGTTAAGAAATTTGTTGAAATCTTCTCTCCGTTAAACAGAAATTGGTGGGAAAATGAACAGGGGGGCTAATAAATCTGACTTCAACTGTATCTACTGTATATTTCCCTGACTTTTACTTAATATTTGTATATTTTCTTCTAACATTGTTATTTTACTAAAATTACAAAACACAAAATGGTTCTGATTTTCTGAGATATTTCTACTTACAACTACCATAGCAGTCAAAACGACAGCTTCCGTTTCAGTGTCTGATACTTTTCCCCAATAACAAAAATATAACTTTCTGTTGGTAAAAATATAGCTTTATTTCAGATTTGTTTTTCAAAACAGCATATTACCTTCTTGAGAAAGTAAAAAAAGTAATGTAACAGGTGAAAGTGAGGTAACAGCTACATATATGACTTCATTAAATATGTTGACAGACATTCGATGTGATGTCTTTTATAATGGTATGCAATGGTAATTCTAGAAATAAAATAATTCTGTTAGTTCCAGTGTTAATAGTATGCATTATAAATAACATATTGCATGACATTTATTTAATCTTATATTTAAACATATAATCATTGTAGTTTATTTTTTACAATTTATCTAATAATAAACTGTCACTACTTTGAACTAGTATTATAATAGCAAATTGACATAATTGTCAAAGTCATTTTTTAAAAATGTAAATAATTTTATGATATTTATTTTTACAAAAGTATGTCACAGTGCACAATGGACAGCACAATAACCTCACAGCAAGAATGTCGCTGGTTCGAGCCCCGGCTGGGATAGTTCTCAGTTTCTAGGGTATTTCTGTGTGGAGTTTGCATGTTTTCCTCTTGTTTGCTTGGGTTTCCTCCAAGTGCTCTGGTTTCCCCCATAGTCCAAAGACATGCACTATAGGTAAATTGAATAAGCTAAATTGGCCGTAGTGTATGTGTGTAAATGCAAGAGTGTATGGGTGTTTCCCAGTGTTGGGTTGTGGCTGGAAGGGCTTCCCAGCATAAAACATATGCTGGATGATTTGGCGGTTCATGCTGCTGTGGCGACCCCTGATTATTAGGGGCTAAGCCGAAAAGAAAATGAACGAATGAATGAATATTTACAAAAAGTTTAAATATATGTTTTAAAAATACTGGTCAGCTGGTTCTAGGGTTATTATTGTTAACTAAAACTAAAGTCTAAAACTTTGCAAACTTATTTTTCTGCCAAGGATATAAAGTATAATAATTAAAAAAAAAAAAATTAATTAATTGTCTAAAGTAATAAAATGGCACAGTAAAGAAAATTACTGGCATGTACTAAAAATAAAATTTAAAGAAAATCTTATCTCATTCAAAAAATATTAAATACTGCTGTTTTGTTATTTATTTAGTTGTAGATATAGCAATTTTAACAAGAATGTGCACTGAGTTTACCGATTGATTGATTTATTGATTGATTGGTTGGTTGGTTGGTTGGTTGGTTGGTTGGTTGGTTGGTTGGTTGGTAGGTTGGTTGGTTGGTGGTTGGTGGTTGACTGACTGACTGACTGACTGACTGACTGACTGATTGACTGACTGACTGAATGAATGACTGAATGATTAATTGATTGATTGATACAAATGTGGCAAATTGGGTTGATGCTAAATAATTTTTAATATACATCCAAGAGGAAAAAATTGAATAAAATTCACTCAAGTCTTCTCTCTTAATTCGTATGTTTTTGTTTTGTTTTTTGTTCACCCAGGACGTATTCAGAGAACGACTGCACGACCGTGGTCCCTCCTGAACCTTGTCTCAGTCCCACAAAAGAACTGGTCTACGGCAAGACCGCCAAACAGTGCCTGGAGGAGATCTCAGGTACAGTAAGATGAGCACTGGCACATGTGCACACACACTTTACACACAAACACACACTCACACACACAGTCTGAGACACAGGCACAGATTCTCTCTGCAGGCCTCGAGCTCCATGTTGCTTTCACAGCAAGAAAAGGTCAGATATGACAGGTGGACAAAGGCCGACCTTGTTTGGGAGGCCAGGCTGCAGAATGTGTTGTTTATCTGAGATTGTGTGTGTGTATTTCTCCATATATGTGTGGGCTTGTGATGTGACAGCTGATAGCTTAAGGCTCAGGCTCTCTCACACACATCGGTTGGTGAGCAACGGTGAGAAATTAATGCAAATTGTGTCCAAATGCTGCATTTACCTGCGCTGCAGATGTGGAAATGGTAGTGCACTCTGACATGCATTTATAGTAATTCACTTTCAGTGTGCATATTTTTCTGCAGAGCCAATGTTGTTATCCCTATGCAAACACTTTAAGTTTATTGCATTAATTCTGTTTGTTATGAGACTTAATCAATTTTGTGATCACATTTTGTTCATGATTAACAATTGAAAAATGCTCAAAGAAAAGTTGGCTGTAAAATCTTTCCTCAAACCAGCTCAGTTTTCTTAAATGAGATATAAATTAGTGTTTCCGCTTGTATAGAAATGTCTGGAATCTTTAATTAGTGTGAATCCACTGCAGACACACACACAGACACACAAAAACGGTCTGTATTTGCAAATTAACAAGGATGTTGGTCATTTTGAAAGTGAGGACTTTATTGTTTGCAAATGGGCATTTACTGCATGGTTTTCACTGCATTGGGAGAGATTTGGGAGTAATTGTTGTTGATGAGATTCGAGGAAATCATAAAATTGCTATTGCATCCTGTGTTGGTAAAAACAAATGAAGGATATAAATACACATTCTGAATGGGGTTGTATCCAGCAGTTTTAGATTAAAGGGTTTTAGGCGTCAGCAGAATGTGTCTGTAAACCTTCAGCTTTAATATCCCACAAACCATTTATGAAATCAGATTATTATTGTAAATGTTTTTTTAAATGGAAGCCAAAAATATGTTGTTTTTGTATATGTCTCTTTAAATGCAAATTAGATGCTTCTCCCTACCACCTTTCCTAAGCTAATAGGGCAGATTATCTTGCCATTTATTAGAAAAGCTATTTTGAAACACTATGATTTATGGTGGTTATTAAAAAGTTGTTTTGTTTGACTAATAGGCATCTTTTAAGGAAACTGACAGATTAAACAGTTTAGATACAAGCTACCACTATTTTGCAGATTAATATGAATATAATATTAGAAATGAGTTTTACAAATTACAAATATGAATCGTTTAATATATTCAGTAGTTTCGCCTACAGTACTGCAATAAGATTAAATAGCCAAAAGTAAACCGTATCTTATATTTTTATATTTTTCCATCTCTTTCAAATTCTAAAATCATGATTTAAACCATGTTATGCTCTGTGCTAGCTGCCTACAGAAAAAAAATAAAATCTGAGATAAATAATACTAATTTTGGACAGAATTTAGAAATTTATGAAAGACAAGAATATGAAAGAGACTATCTGACAAAAAAAAATCTTTTCTCTTGGGTAGCATGTTTGCAGGATTTGTCTACATCTGGTCATGTTTGAAATCCTGTGGTTTGACCAGTGATGCAGTTAGGGAAACCCTCACATAGACTACTTATAGATGTTAACCTCAAGAACTCACTTCCTGTTGAGGTGCATTGTGGGTTACGCCCAGTTGTAAAATTTGTTCCACTACTTCGCAAGACTAAGAACTGAATCTTTGCATGCACCTGTTGTGTTTTACACATCTAGATGGATGGCTGGTTGGATTTTGATGCAGATTAATCAATGGAGAAGTTTCTTATCCAAACACACACACACAATGCTGAACCCTTGATAAACCCTATAAGCTCAGTGCTGTTATTTAATCAAATATCTGGTCAGGAGACCATAGACAGATTTATTATATAAAGAAAGGTGTTTATACTACATGAACTGCATATTTTATATAGGCTATTGGAGAATGTAGTCTGTAAATTTTGAAAACAACCTAGAATTCATTATTTTCTCGTAGATTATTTGTGTGCTTCAGCATTTCCAAATGCGTCATTTTAACACCCCTCACCAGTGTGAAGAGATTCTGATAAGAAATCACAGTGTTACAAGCCAGTTTAGTCTTGCGCTATTCCCACAGCAAACACACACACACATATACACAACTACCTGCTTTGCTGTGAAGGTGTGTTCTGACTCGGTAGCTAACAGCAACAGCCATCATAGCTGCAAAGTGAATCAGAGAGAAGAAAAAGAGAGATGGATGAAGAGAAGGAAGCAGCTTACAACATGTTAAAAGAAGCAGGCGGACCCTGAGCTTGCATCTCGGAGCGCGCACACACACACACTCAGTCTCTGCCGCTGTCCCTTGGAGCGAACCACATGCGCTCACTCCAGCCGGTAATTAATAGACAGAGTGTGTGAAGAGTCTTCGGTTGCTGGGAGAGAATCAGGAAGAGGGGGGAAATGCCGTGAAGGACGTGTATCACAATTTGAGCAAAATCTGGTGCAGATCTGTTCCCGCAAGCCTCCGTGCTGCATTGAAGGATACAACTGATAGAGGAGGAAGACAGGAGGAGTGCGCTGTCAGTGTATGCACCTGGATGCTGGTTATTGGCTGCAGCGAGAGAGTGTGTGTGTGGGCAGGATGGTATTTGAAGCTCCCTGGTGCAAGGGGCAGCTTTGCGACTGAGCGTCTGTGCCAGCAGCCACCTGAGGCTCTCAGATCATGTGAGGAGGAACAAACTTAAGGAAAAGGAATAAAAAGTGCACTGGATTCTAAAGAACGTGTGAAATTATGAAGCGAGGAGCCGAGTTTTCTGTGTTCCAAGGTGGCAGCCCGCCTCGTAAGTCTCCACAGCCACTCCCGGACAACCTAAATCTCCGCAAACAGCGATCTCTTGGAAATCTTGTACTTCTTAGTGATGGGGAGCAGAGGGTTTATGCCTTTGAGCTGGATGAACCAGCTTGCCCACCTTTGTCAGCCTCCGGGACGTCGTCTACTTCGCCCTCGCCACAACATGCCAGAGGTGGTGCACGTCGAAACCCAGACAGCAGCATCCGAGCTCGGTCACTCTCGCTGTCCCTCACCAAGATGCTTTCTCAATCCGAACACTCCCTTATACCTGTTCCCTGGGGTCGTAAGTCCAGCAGAATGGCATCTGCTCATCAGCACCACCGGCCGGAGTTGGTAGAGAACGTGGGCAACAGTGCTGATAAGGAACCCCAGGCTGGTCCAGCAGGCACTGGAGGAGACTGGGAGCTTGAGAGTGCCAGAGATGAGCAAGCACAGCTGGATAAAGAGGTTATACTCACTATGCTTGGTGACTTGGAGCAGGTTTTGAACCCCAAAACACGCCGTAAGTGCCATGCCGCATAGCCACACATGGTCTCTCAATCTCATCGGTAACATACTGTAGCAGTGTTTTATTGTGACTTGCTAGAGCATTGCTGTGCTAATGGTCTTTTTCACCCCTGAACTATGGATTGCGCATGTGTATAACTGCATCAGAAAGTGTTCTATGAGATGTCTGGGTGAATTATGGATGACGGATCATGCTATAGAAGAGCATTTAGCAGCTAGATTCACCTCCTGGCTATGGAAGTGTTGTCATGCTGTCTGCCGCTTTGATCAATAGTTCTATTTACCATCCTGTCTGTGTGATCCATGCTTTTATTCCTCTCCCATCTAGTGTTAACCGTCAACCACAGGGCTGTTTGTTTGCAAGCCCACCACTATCATCTTATTTAGGTAATTCAGTTCCCTGTAGTTCAGTATGATAACATTCTTTCACACAGCATTTGAGTTAATGGAGGGAATGTTTGGAGGGGCTGTTTCTTTTCTTTCACTGTTACTGCTGCTAAAATATAAAGGGATTGTTCACCTAAAAATTTTCTGGGTAAAATTATTTACTTGCCTTCATGTCATTCTAAACTTATGTGAATGTATTTCTTCTGTTAAACACAAGGATTGTGTTTACAAAATTCTTTGTTTTTTTTGGCCAAAATGAAAGTTTGCAGTTTGGATGTTGTTTAGTCTGCAGCATTCTTTGAACTATCGTTGTGAAATATAAAAGTTCGAAATGACATGAAAGTCAGTAAGTGATTTTTGGGGCGAACTGTCACTATATAATCTTAAGTATTACACTTAACACAGATTCTTTTAAAACGTCAGCCTAGATTTTTATGAAATCACAAAAACATTTAAGTATACATTTCACAGATAAAGAGCAGTATAATGCCAACAACTTTTCACACCATGATATTTAAAGCAACTAATTATTAACAAATAAGCATTATTTTGTTATTTTATTCTTCCGCAATAGCAAATAAATACCACACACAGCAGTGTCTGTAATCAAATTAGTTTGCTCACCTATCTATGGACAACTTTTCTGATGATGTCAGTTTGCTCTCTCTTTGTACTGTGTTGTTTTTGTGATGTAGAGCGATCGGGTTAAAGTTAATTAAAGCACAGGTTCACACAAGAAATAAAACAATGTAAAATCAAGCTAAAACAGTGTGGTCACTGCACTATTCTCTTATATTTGCTTTTGATTTTGGTTCTGGTTTAGAGGTTCACTGGGTAATGCTTATGACAAGCAACAACTTCTCTTGGATGAGAAGCACATGTATCTAAAAAAACATCAAAACATAATGCTGTGTTTACACTAGACGCGTAACGTGCGAATAAATCATGCTAAATCATCATAAATCATTGCTTCATTCACAAGTCAAATTTATCTCACAATAGACGTGGATTTACATCATGGGCAGGGCTTCTGTCTGCCCGGTGACTCTAGCTTCATTGCTAAATGGATCATATGGATTTCATTGAGAGAATAGCTGCATTTATGTGATTTAGGAAGGCATAAAATAGTGTATATATTTGTTTGGTGCCATGTCTACAAGATCCTTTCAGAGGTGCACCCAGCTCTGTGAGTTTATAAACTTCTTCAGAAACTAGGTTTTCAGCAGTGCTGTGCATTTGATCAAACAGATAAGAATAAGAAGGCGGCATAGTGGCTCAGTGTTTAGCACTGTCGCCTCACAGCAAGAAACTGGTTCGAGTCCTGGCTAGACCTGTTGGCACTTTTATGTGAAGTGTGTATATGTTGGTGTTGGCGTGGGTTTCCTCCGGGTGCTCCAGTTTCACCCACAGTCCATACGCTGTAGGCCAGGCCATAGTGTATGATTCTGTGTGTGAATAAGTCTGTATTGGTGTTTCCCAGTACTGGGCTTTGGCTGAAAGGGCATCACCTTCATAAACAATTCTGTTTGCTGGAATACTTGGTGGTTTATTCCGCAGATATAGAGACTAAGCCAAAAAAAATATTTAATGAAAGAAGATAAGAATTTCATTTAATTTATTTAAAAAATATATATGTATAAAAAATTTATATATATATATATATATATATATATATATATATATATATATATATATATATATATATATATATATATATATATATATATATATATATGTATTGTAAAAACAATGTTTTTGTAAGATAATAAGAGACAAGGAGTGCTTTCTAGTCTTGTGTCAACATGACTGAAAAATATGTGAGAAAAGAAGAGCTGAATATCCATGAATTGTTCCCTCACAGACATAAGACAGGGCTGCATAAATGTCTACTTTTAAATAAGGCTACTCTGTGTGAAAACAACAGATAAATGACCATTTTTCACATTTATAATTAAATATGACTTTACTACTACATCTATAACACAATATATAAATGACAAACCTCTCTGCTATGAGGGTGCGGAAATCTGCTGTGTCACACATTTGCATTTGCCTTGAAATGAGTGATACGCACAACACAGCTCTGAATTATGCAAAACACAAACCGCACTATGCAGTCACAGATCCCAGTTTGAAGCTTGCAGACTCTAGCTTTCAGTCTGGCACAATGAGGTTAAATCACTACAAACCCTCAACTACCATCTGATCAGACAGAGCCAGCGGTGTGTCCTCACACCCTCCATCGCTACTGACAGGCTCAAGTGGTGCTTACAGAAATGTGTCTGTCCACCTGGAGGGCAGCAAGTGCAGTTATACCACCCAGAGCCCTCTTAATCATCAAATTTCCATTCAGAAGCTCTTATAATTTTTTTTGTTCATTTCCAGCATTAACATGCACTTCAAATAACCATGCACCTGCTGCATGTGTGTGTGGGTTTTAAATTGTCCTGTAGCTCTGTTTGTGGGCTAGTGCTGGCAGGGAGAGTGAAATTACTTTATTTGCCCTACACAGTTCGGCTGAATGGTCCATTACAGACCCATAAAACAAATCTTGTGGGTAACAGAGAGGTCTATATGACTCTAAATGAGTTTGTTTGTGCTGAGGTCATGCTTCAGGTTGGTCAGCTAGTTAAATTAGTGATAGTAAGTGTTTAATTTTTGTTTGATTATAGTCTTAGCTTTAATAATTTATGTTTATATGCTGAAATGAAATACCTTTAATGAAGATATTTGGTAGGAGATATGATAAATATATGATGATGAATGTGTCTCTCGTGGGTGTTTTCACACTTGGCAGGTTTGGCAGGATTAAATGAACTCTGGTGTGATTGCTATGTTAGTACAGTTAATTTGAGTAAGTGTGAATGTTGTCAACCAATCCTTGGTGTGCATGATGGCAGAGACTATTGGAAAAGTGGGTCTCGGTTTACATCAAAATAAAATTTGATCAACACTAAATGGACCAAAAATATTTAAATGAACCGAAACAACATGTCACAAGATGTGACCATAATAGGACAGAATGCTCAAGTAGTTTGAGAATGCAAACACGTCCTGTTTGTCCTTTATTGTATTTTTAGGTTCGGTCCAAAAAATATATAGTGGTCTTAATTTATCACTTTTATTTTTGGTTTAGGCATGAGCTCCAAACAACAAGTATGACAGTATGTTGTATTATTAGTATTACTATTAATATTTTAGTTGTATTTATATTGTTATGTTAAAGAACATGTTAGCAAATATTAACAAATATTACCAAATATTAAGAAGAGTCCACAGATACTCATATGCCTTCTAGGCGACATGTAATTGCCAAGTCAATTCATAAACAACAAAATATCAAAACAAATTAGTACCTTTAAAAAAAAATGTTTTAATATTTAAACATGGGAAACAGATGTCTTACAATAAAAACAATGGGTTTTTATTGTCGAAAAACTAAATAAATGGCAAAAAAAAATCATATTTTTTAATGTATAATGCAACCAATGGCAAAAAAAGCTTAATTACAATTAGCTTAATTAATCTCTCTCCCTCTACAGTTTTTAAATTATAGAAATATTTTGTTTGCACTATGTATAACAAATCTGTACAATATGGAAGGCTGGATCCACAAGAATTTTACCAGTTGTTTCTGGTGGCCCTTTATTCATCTTTTCATATCACTTTCAGAGTGCAATTTGTCATTACACACTCACAAATGCTTTCGCACTTCATCAGTCTTCAAGCCTCTCAGACAGATGTTCCACTCAGGCTGCTGGAGTCATGTTTAAATGATTGCTGCTCACTGTAAAAAACAACTTTACTTTTTACACACTACACTGTTGAGTATGTAGTGCAAAGTATGTATAAATAATCATTTGAGAAACAGGTAATAAGTGTCTTTAAGTGTGTATCCAGCTTTCCAAACAACAGCATAGGAATACAAACACACAATATGAACTGGTGTTTACATAGACGGGAGAAAAGGTTTGACCCAGAGGTGTTTGACAAGTGAGAATTTCTGTTGAAAATAGTTTTGTGTAAATGTGATTTGTTTTGAATGTTGGTCACTTGGGAAATATTGAAGTGCGTGTACAGATATGTTAAATTGGACAGATTTTGATTTGATCATATAAAATGCTTAGACAAAGTAAGACTACTCTACAGCAACATCAACCACATAAAAAAACATACTTAAAGAGATAATACACCCATGAATGAAAGTTATCTGTTATCCATTACTTACCCTTAACTTATTCCAAACCTTTCTTCCGTTGAGCACAAGAATTAAAAAGAGAAAAACTTGTAAACAATTACTTCCATTTTATGATTGTTTTCCTATAATGGTAGTAATTGGTTGCAGTTTTTTCAGGTTTCTTCAAAATATCTTATTTTGTGTTCAACAAAAGAAATAAACTTAGAAAGATTTGGAATCACTTCGGGGTAAGTAAATTCTGAGCATTTCTTTATTAATTTACTATGAAGCTTTAAAGTGTTTAACATCATAGTGTGTTATTTGGATGTAATATTTCATATTCAGATATGATTGGATGCAGTATCTGGGTCTCTAATTGGATGTGGAAACCTGTGTATGTGAAAGTGGGTGCATTTAAATGACAAGAAAGTACAGAAAACAGAAACGTTTTTGTGTGTTTTTGAATTATGTTACCTATTGAAGACGTTTAAACAAATAAGACAAGTAAATAATGCAATGACTCACAATACACAAAACACACTTAGTTGTCACTTAACAAATCAATGAACAAATATTATGAATTTTCTTTATTTATTTATTTATTAATTAATTTATTATTTTATTTTTTTTGCTTCTGTAAAAAAATGAGGATGAAAATATGTGCAGTAAAAGGCCAAATGTTTCATGCTTCAGCCAAACTTTGAGCCTAGCTTAGAGGTTAAAAAGAGGTGTCATAGCTTACGGATTACTTCGTGCTCCGCGAAAAAGTGATGACCGTGAAATCTGTCCCTTTATCCCGTCAGCTGCACAGCAAGCTGTAACTTCAGCATCTGAGTTGACATGCGTGAGCAGACAGCCTCCTCCCGCTAACCGCTGGCCACAGCATGTTTGACTGCTTTATATGCCGAGTCTGCTCTGCCGTACAGAGTATTTACAAGCAAGTGACTTGGTGCCAGTAACAGGGACAATAACCAATGTTTTATTATTTTTCCAACAGGAGAAGATCCAGAAACTAGACGGATGCGTACAGTGAAGAACATTGCTGATCTGAGACAGAATCTGGAAGAAACCATGTCCAGTTTACGGGGGACGCAGATTACCCACAGGTTAGTGTTAAAATCGTCAAAATGCCCAGAGAAGATTAGCTTATGGAATAACAAAATTTAGACAGTGAAACTGGTGGACCATCATGCTCTTAAAGTAACATTACTTTTTAGGGAAATAGGCCCATTTTACAACTCCCCTAGAGTTAGACAGTTGAGTTTTACCAAATTTTTAATTCATTCAGCTGATCTCAGGATTTGACAGGAGCATTTTAGCTTAGCTTAGCATAAATCATTGAATCAGAATAGACCATTAGCATCTTCCTCAAAAAATGTAAAAAAAAAAAAAACATTTCTAAAATAAATAAAAAATAAATAAATAGTTGCTATTTTCTAGGCTAATGTGGTCTAATCTGGATTTAATAAGTGATGCTAAGTTCAATAGTATCTGAATACAGACTTGGATTTGCAAGCTGAGACTTCCGATCTCAGACAAAATGCACTCAATGGAGATAGTGACGTCACTGTGAGGGTTAGGGTTAGGGGTGTGGTTAGGTGTGCACATTAAAAGCATTGAATGCTGCTCAGCTTGTAACTGCATCAAATCATCATCCCGACCCCTCTCGCTAAGTTAAGCTAAAAGTGCTACCACCAGACCTGGAGATCAGCTGAATGGATTCAGAAATTATAAAACTGTTTAACTCCAGGTGATTTGTGAAAATGAGCCAAAAAATAAATAAATAAATTGTAGTGTTCCTTTAAGCTTTTCGTACACAATGCATTCTGGGATTGCTTTATCAGTTATATAATATATGTATATTTAGAAAGACATAAAAAATAAAGTTCACTAGTTCCAAACAGTGACAGCTGCACTTTGGGAAAATTGGATCTCTTTTGCCAATTTAATTTCTTTAAGGACAAAGCTTGGTTTGGCAATCACAAACAATACAGTCCCTCATTGTGCCAACATCCTAGCTAACAAAGGCTCTCACCAATCTCATTCTGAAATGAAAAATGCTCTGTACTTTTGTTGAGTTAATAATTTATTAAAACTATCTAGCCTGCAACACCCAAATTCCCAAACAGCCAATTACTGAAGAAAATACATAAGCGTAACTGCATTTGTCCGGCCCTGGTCTGGCCTATTTCAGCACCTCGCTCTTTATCTCACTCACAATGTGAACGTAATTTCACAGGAAAGTGGTTCAGAGGCAGCGCTCTGACATGACAGATGGTGTTGGCCCTCTCTTTCTCTTTCCCTCATGGGGAGCATCTTCTTTGGAAATCAATGCTTGGCCTTTTTTTTAAACAGCACATTGTTTCTCAAAGGAGCCAAAAAGGTGTTAGACACTTCCTTGCACTCCCTCGCCGTAAAGCTAACCGGTAAAGAGCCCATGAATCAAAAAACTCAACCCTTCTTTGTATGGAGTTCATCATGGTCAGATATATATATATATTGTTGACACAAGGCTGTCAGACTGTGCACGCAATAAATGAAGAAGAGAAAAAACTATCCGTCATTGTGACGTAAACAGAGTAATTCAGTAGAATGCATTTTCTGATATATGTGAGGCTTGCACAGATGGAAAGAAGATAGAAATCCAGCCAGGATGCCTTTAATTGTAAGGAAGAGCTCCATTTTTCATCCTTGTGACCACATTAACGGGAAGTTAACCTGTAGTTTCCTGAGACGTTGACCCACTGTGTGGATTCCTTCATCCATACATTCAACACACAGCTTTTGAATGAACTTCCATTCACGTTTAGACGTGCCATATGAATGATAAATGTTCTGAAAGAGTATATTAAATTTGGTCTTTCAGAATCTTCTGTAAAAAATACTGTAAAGGTATATTCACCATGTCGCTCGGGATGTCACAAACCTCTATCAATCCTATTGACTGAGCTTATGTTTTGAAGGCTATCGAAGCTTGCATATTTTATTGATTGATGTAGCATATTAAAAAAGGCATCCTGCCATGGGTTTGAGATCTTCAATGTGAAAGTCAAGGTGAAAGTGAAAATAAACACTCCTCTAGATCTGAAGTCAGGAATTGTAAAGAGATCTATTAGTTGGTTGCTTATTAATAAATTCTATACTAAAAGTTGCTATGTGTCTGTACACTATCATATACATCTAGACTAAAAATTCATTACAGTTGACTGTTTTGCTTAAACAGTTATAATTCTTTATATTTCTGATATATAATTATAATTTATATATATATAAAAATAATATATATTCTTATCTATAAAAATAAACAGAACTTTACTTTATAAGTCTTATTACACACACGTTTGTCTACAGTTTTCTATTTTGAAAACCAAATTATAAAATGTTCCAAACCTTTTTAAAAAAACCATAATTTTTCACATGTTTACCTGAAGCTATTAACATCACCTATCATCCAGTAATACTTCCTGTCTGAAAGGCATAATAAATAAACTCTCAGTCATTCCTACTGCTAGTGTCTGTAATAGTGTTCCCATTTCATCTGGCTATTTCATTGAAGGAACAGCAGAGAAGGAAGGCAGATTTGGAAAAATGCCTTTCCCAGTAGCAGTAGCATGTTGCTAAGAGACCAGGGCTGTCGAGAAGAGCCGACATCAGGAATATATAGCGGATCTGTCAGCTGTCATGAAGAGTGGCATCAGAGAGGCAGATAAACTCTGGTGACTGAGCCACAGGCCCATTCTGGAGATCAATACATTATACTGAGCAACCTACCCAAATCTGTCTAGCTCCTCCTATATGATTTATGCTCTTAGAGAGCCATAAACCACAGCTCATACATGTCCTAATGACTGAGACTTTACTCTGGGTTATTTATGTAATGCTTTTGAGAGTAGTACATAATACAACTTTGGGAATGATGACATTACTTGGTTATGGAACTACTTTTAGGTGACCCAAGGGCAATGCATACAAATAATTTAACTCTTTTCAAACTTATCCTTTTTCTTCTTCTGGTGGTGGTGAGGAGAGACCCCGTTACACTATTGTAAAAGTGCTTTGGGTGTATGGACATACACAATTAATGCACTATATAAATGAAAATTACATTACATTTACAGTGCATTCTGAAAGTATTCATAGCGCTTCACAAGTTTTTAATGGTACAGCCTTATTCCAAAATGGATTAAATTCATTTATTTCCTCAAAATTCTACACACAATACCCCATAATAACAATTTGAAAAAATATATATTTTTTAATTGTTGCAAATTTATTAAAAATTAAAAATCTGAAAAATAACATGTACATACGTATTCAACCTTTGCCGTGAAGCTCTAAATTGAGCTCAGGTACATTCTGTTTCTACTGATCATTCATGAGATGTTTTAACAGCTTATTTTAATTAAGTTAATTGGACATTATTCGAAAAGGCATATAAATGTTTATATAAGTTCCCAGGGTTAACAGGGCATGTCAAAGCACAAACCAAGCATGAAGACAAAGGAACTGTCTATAGACCTCCGAGACAAAATTGTCTCGAGGCAAGGCTGGGAAGGTTACAGAAAAATGTTTGCTGCTCCGTAAGTTCCAGCCAGCACAGTGCCTCCATCATCTATAAATGGAAGATGTTTGGAACCACCAGGACTCTTCCTAGAGCTGGCCGACCATGTAAGCTGAGTGAGATCCTAGTCAGGGAGGTTATCAATAACCCGAGGGTCACTCTGTCTGAGCTTCAACAATCTTCTAAGGAGAGAGGAGAACCTAACAGAAGGACAACTATCTGTGCAGCAATCCACCAATCACGTCAGTATGGTAGAGTGGCCAAACGGAAGCTACTCCCCACCTGGAATTTGCCAAAATGCATCTGAAGGACTCTGACCATAAGAAACAAAACTTTCTGGTCTGATGAGACTAATATTGAACTCTTTGGAGTGAATGCCAGGCATTATGTTTGGAGAAAACCAGGCACCGGTCATCACCAAGCTAATACCATGCTGTGGGGATGTTTCTCAGCAGCAAGAACTGGAAGACTAGTCAGGATGGAGGGAAAGATGAATGCAGCAATGAACAGAGAAATCGTGAATGAAATCCTGCTTCAGAGTGCTGTTGATTGACTGGCTTGACGGTTCGACTTCCAGCAGAACGATGACCCAAAGCACACCGCCAAAATATAATGGAGTGGCTTCACAACAACTCAGTGAATATCCTTGAATGACCCAGACAGAGCCCAGATCTAAATCCTATTAAACATCTCTAAAGAGATCTAAAAATAGCTGTACATCGTCGCTTCCCATCCAACCTGAAAGAGCTTGAAAGGCAATGCAAAGAGGAATGGGCAAAAATTCCCAAAGACAGGTGTGCCAAGCTTGTGGCATCATATTCAAAAATACTTGAGAATGTAATTGTGCCAAAGGTGCATCAACAAAGGTTCCTTCCTTCCAACAAAGATTTTAGGTTTTTTATTTTTAATAAATTTGCAACAATTTCAAAAAATCTTTTTTTACATTGTCATTATGGGGTCTTGTGAGTAGAATTTTGAGAAAAAAACTAAATTTAATCCATTTTGGAATAAGTCTGTAACATAAAAAAAATGTGGAAAAATGAAGCATTATGACAACTTTTCGGATACACTGTACATTACATTCATGCCATTTACATGAAGAGATAAAATTTTTGATGCTTGGCAGGGGTTTGCCATTATGCATCTGCTGGCAGAGTACAGACTCCGTGCAATCGGAAACAAACTGAAACAAGCAACAGAATCATCACTTATGCACATGAAATCTAATGTAATGTTCAAATATTTAACATCATTAAAACACTAATTCTTAATGTTACTGAATGAAATGTCGAATCCCTGCTGTTGCAAGCTGGACTTGATGCAGTTTCACTCATCTTTTTTGTTTTTGATCTGATTGAATGAATCACAAAATTGTGATTTTGTTATTGATTATTTTTAATGTATTTATTATTTGTATTTATAATTTTTATCAAAATGTTATAAATATAATAAATATTTAAGTTATTGTCTTATATTATTAGTTATTATACATAAAAAAAATTACTGTAAATGGTTGCTTAAGAAGCATAATGTATATTAGCAATA